AATTGCCAGAGGCTTTCAGTAGATCAGATACAATGCTATCACTCAGAGATCAAAAAGCTGGAAAAGATACAAGCCTTCAAATTTATGAAAGGTGACTAGAATTCAGTTGAGGCTGGATTCCAAGTGCCATGTATTCCTCTATATCCTTCCTTTCTGAGACAATCTTCCAACATGCAGCTCACTACTATTCAGATTACAAAATAGCAGAGGTGCCTTCAGTATTGATATTCAGACAGTAGCTCAGCAATTCTTGGTGTATTTCACAACTGAACAGTCTGCAAGAAATGCCAATTTCTTTGTAATGGTACTGTGGTTAGAGGAAGCCAGCCTTAAGGCAAAAGGGATCATCTGTGCAGAACTGCCTGTTGTCAGGGCTTAAAATTTTGACAGCAATAATTCCAATACATCTTTGAGATTGGTATATTAGAGATTACTAGTGCAATGTGTGGAGAATTGGAAGAGATTAATCAGGAGGCCTCTCTTATTCTGTTAAAAGTTTATAAAATAATATTATAATAAGTCAGATATTATTGATTCTGATTGGCAAATGGACTCTAGGACCTCAGACACAGTTATTTCTACCACCTATTATTTCATCCTAACTAGAATTCAACTAGCATTGAATTCAGGTTGTTTTGGATCCAAGACAAATGTTCTTCTGATTCAGTTCTGAATTGGTTCAATTCTGTTGGCTTAATAATATATGTGAAATTAGAAGTACATACAAGCCTTCCCAATATATATGCCCCTGGTTGTTTTAGCCTTCAATTCTCATTGGACTCAGCCAGCTTGGCCAATTGTCAAGGATGATGGAAGATGTAGGACAAGCAATCTGAAGGTATTCATGTTGGAAATCATATACTTGCATCATCAGAAACTTAAAAAATACAAGAAACCACATTACTAAAAGCAGACTGTATTATGTGGTTCTCCTGAAACTGGACAATACTAACATTTGAACCATTAACAATAAGAGTAAGAAAACAAAAGGAAGGAAGTATTGAATTTGTTGTTTCAACAATCATCTCTCCAAAAAAAAAAAAAAAAAAAAAAAAAGCAGAAGGGGAATTCCATGCTTCCTTTGTGTTAATTTTTTTAAAGTCATCATTCTGACATCTTCTGCAAAGGAATGATATTTTCCAGTAGTAACATTTGCAATATTTTAGCATTTATAACTCTTGTATCAGAAAATTTGTATCAGAAAATTAGGGTCAACAGCACCTTTCACAAACGTATTTATGTTCTTCAAATGTCAAAACTATTTCAACCAGTTTCTGTATTCATTTTCTCCAATATCCTTCTAATATTCTGGAAACTTACATTCAATTTAGCAAAGAACACATTGGATATGTGAAGTTCTAGTGAGGCTAAATATAGAAATAAATATTTATGAAAAGTGCCTACATCTTTGTTGGATAATGTGAAAAGAAGGAACTTGAAATAAAATGCAATCACATTAGAAGGTATAGGAATAGTGTCATGTTTGATTTATTGTTTTCAGGAGTATCCTACTTTTTCATATTTGTTTGTTTCTTTATTAAATTTGTATGCCGCCTGTCTCACTATCCAGACTAACTCTGGGTGGCTTATATCACTATGTAATTATCATACTATACATTAAATTCTGGGAAACTGCTATATATGCAATCAGACTACTGATTATTGTCAACAATAACGAGCTATCTAGCCTTATGGTGAATAGTGAGAATTTAATAAGTTTTCTCACTGAGTCACTGTCAATTATATAACAAGTAAAGAGAGCAGCAGGCCTCTAGAAATAGCAGGTGGTGGTAATTGTTGTTATACCAGCCTTGTAAAGAGCAGGAAAGTGTATAATGAGTCTGTTTGTTTTTGTTGTGCCTAAGAGTCAGTGTTGACTCTTGGTGATAAGTCCCTAAAAGTTTTCTTGGCAACATTTCAGAAGTAGTTTGCCATTGCCTTCCTCCTAGGGCTGAGGGAGAGGTGCTGGCCCAAGATCACTCACTGATTTTGTGTCTAAGGTTCCTGGTTTCTAGTTCTAGTTCTCATGACTATAATTAAGTATACTAAAACATAATGTAGACTAAAAGCATTTGCACACACTTCTTGTGCAAGGACTAGACTGTTGTATAGTCTAATACAGACATGTCAAACACGAAGTAGTTTCATGCGGCCCGTGAAGCCATCCTGGAAACAGTGAGGGAACGGCCCCCTTTGCCTTGGCCATGGCCCAGGCCAGCCGGGGACCAATGTACAATTTTGTGGTGGCCATCTATGCTGAAACGTATTCAGTCTTAGCTCCATAAGCCCCCCCACCCGGCATGGCCTGAGAGGAACAGTGAGGCTCCTCCAGTGGACCATGTCTTGGCACTTGTCCTGGTCCCACCCCCCTTCTGCCAGAGACCCTCAGAACTATCCCACTCCTGCCCAGGCCCCACAGGCACCCTTGACGTGAACGATGTAGAGCTGGCCACACCCACCCAGTAGGCCACACCCACTCCATCCACACCCACCCAGTAGGCCACACCCACCCTGGCCACACCCACCCACCCCCCTGAGGGCAATCGCAATGCTGATGCGGTCCTCAATGAAATTCAGTTTGACATCCCTGGTCTAATCAATATAACTCCATTTAATATACTGTGCAAGTAAAACTAATGTAGCTTAGACCATTGAGCTTTTTAAATAAAAGTATAAGTCTGGCACTAAAAAAATGCATATCACTAATAGTCATATTTCTATGGGAAGGATATTCTGTCAGGTGAGAGGCCCCAAAAGGAATCTTCCCACCTTAGTTAATAGCAATACTTCGTAGATGGAAATCTGTGCTAGTCTATAGTGGCCAAAAACTCAGGAGGAATCTGATGGCACCTTTTCCAACTAATATATTTTATTAAACATATAACTTTTGCTGCATTTGATGAACTGAGCTGCATTCTTTTAGTAAATGTTAATCCCAAAAGCTGCTACCAGGCTCCTTCTGACAATTCATGGGGATCATCATCACCAGGTGTTCTTAAGAGTTGAGCACATTTAATTTTTTATTAAACTTATATGCCAGCTATCTTGCCATAGGTGACTCTATGTGAAGATTCTAGCACTTACAGATAATGATGCTATAAACCACCTCCAGGGGTAGGCAACCTTGGCTCTTTTATGCTCGTGGACTGGCTCAAGACCAGACAGGCTTTTATGACCAGGCTGGCTCAAGAATTCTGGGAGTTGAAGTCCACGAGTCATAAAAGAGCCAAGGTTGCCTACCCCTGACCTAGGCTTTAGAAGCTAGCACCAGCTCCAGTTCATTGAACTGGGGTAGGAAGCAAGCATGCAACCACTGCAGTTCTCAGAATATAATGATTCAAACTGGCTATCCAACTATAATCCTGGCGGCAACCCTCTATAGTAGCATCAGTTTCCAGACTGCAAGGGTAGACTATAAAGAGACTGGATGCTAAAAGCATGTCTCCTAAGGGCTACATGCAGTTTCCAGGCTGCAGACCATTCATCACAGTAATCCATTTAAGAGGTCACTAAGCCATGGAATAGTCCAACCAGACTGTCCTTTTGCAGCTATAGTGGTAATCAGTCCACCTGACAGAACACACAATAAGCAACAGTTATGACTTGGAGCTCACGGCTGATCAGGTAATCCCTTGTCTTTTCAAGGATAAACTATCCATAATGCATATCCCAAAGGTGCTTTTCAAAAGGCAGCTGGACTTCCTTAGCTTTTTTTTTCTTGAAAAACAAAGATTGGAAAAACAAAGGTCACTTTTTTGAAGACATCAAAATCCACTTTATGGACAGAGAGGACCATTAGTTTAAAAGAAGGGTAAAAGAGAGCATCTATGAACAGTCCTCCCTCAACAGAGGGGGAGGAATACAATGCCACCTATCGCCTGTCTACAACACACTCCTTTCAGCAATACCAAGAAGGCTCCACACCCATTTGCATTCTGACTCAGGTGACCCTGAGGGTACAGATAAACCTCTAAGAGGCCTCAATGACTCTCAGAGAGCTAACCACCAACTGACCTTCAAAGTGCTAATGACCAAATGATTGCGAAGAATATCAGTCCTTCCATTCCCCAGTATTCAGTCAGAACTGAAGGTTTCTTGGCTGAGAAGCAAAACATTTTCAAGCAATAACAAAGGAAGTCCAGTTGCCTTTTGAAAAGCCACCTTTGGGACAGCCTGGATATCCCAAGGGTGGATAATCTCCTGGATAATCTCCATAGACATATATCAATAATGCATGTCTCATTGCAATTCAGTTAATTTTTATGATCCTCAGAGCCAAATCTAGGAACTTCCATAGCCCAATTATCATGACACATAGAAATAGAGTTAAATATCATCTGCTGATACCTCGCTGCAATTTTTTAGTTTTGTATAATATTAATCCTTACGGTAGTATTATATTTTAGACACCAGTAATTACATATAATACTATGGGGTTATGAAAATTAAAATGAATTTGATGGAGCCTTGCATGCTACTAACCACATTATATTTTCTTTTTCTTTTTCTGAAACTAATCTTTCAAATAGGAATAAGATTATTATGTCACCATGCCATCCCACATTTATCATCCAACAATACAACACAGAGCAAAGTTACATTTCCATCTTCCTCCAGGTAGGGATCATCCATCAACTAGGAATTTTTAAATTCCAAGTTAAATTGAAATGGAATTAGAAAATCTGCAACAGACAAAAGCTTTCTGCAGATAAAAACCTAGATAAGGCCAACAACCAATATTATCCAGCAAATTAAATTTTGCATAGTAGTTGACCATTGAGATCTACTCGGGAAGTTCCCAAACATGAACAGAAGGATAATCGTGTCTTCCACAATGCTCCCTAGCAGCAATTATTTATTTATTATTTATTAAGTTTCTAGACAATAACAGCAACAGCACTTAGCCTTATATACCTCTCCATGGTGCTTTACAGCCCTCTCTAAGCGGTTTACAGAACCAGTATATTGCCCCCAACAATCTGGGTCCTCATTTTACCAACCTCGGAAGGATGGAAGGTAAGTCAGTCTTGAGCTGGTCAGGATCAAACTCCTGCCAATAGAAATGCAGAGTTAGCCTGCAATACTGCTTTCTAACCACTGCGCCACCACGGCTAGATTCTAGCAATTATTATTATTTAAGGTGTCTTGCTCGTATGACATGGTACACAACAGATGTACAAAACATTTCCTTCTAGGGATGTTTCACATAGCATCTTATTTTTTTCTTCTGGACCAGACCAATCTGGTCATTTCAGGGCTGGCAGTCCAACAATTGTAAGTTTAATTATCAATTGATTCATAAGGACTGGGATACTACATATAACCTGCCTCTGCATACTCATCCTGTCTTCCCCTCTTTTGTTCCCCATCTCAACCCAATTTAAATCCTATATTAGTGTAGCTACTCTGTGCACTTGATGAAGTAGGTTGTACCCCATGAATTTTTATTCCCTTTAATAACATTTGCTAGTTAGAAAAGTAACACTAGATTTCTGATTTTTTTTGCTACCACAGAGTAACACAGACTAACACAGTTACAGTATTATGAAATTTTGCTCAACTTTCTGCACAGTCAAGAAAACATATAGTGTACTGGCTGAAAACTTCTAAATGATTTTACATCAGTCCTTCATACACTGAAAATATTGTGAGGTTAGCTTTGTTTTCCTCTTACTACCCACACGTTTACTAGCCATGGGAAGTGACAACACATGTAAAAAAAATTGTATGTAAATACTAGCATACTAGCATTCTCCACATAACAACACATTCTGATTGACAATAATGTGAAGGATCCCTTAAGTCGAACATGCAGTGAAGGGGGGAGGGTGCAGGGAAGGGCTATGCAAAGTTGTCCCCTCTTTCACATTCATGGTCAGAATTTGAGTGTGAATGGCACAATCACCCCCACTTAACCTTCAGTCATGTTTTGAAACTTCCAGGTATCACCTGATACTCATACATCATGGTTTCTATCAGCTTGCTCACACTAAGACCAGATGCCAAAACCCATCTCAACTATTCCAGAGGATTACTAATTTTTCCCCCCAGACGTAATATGCTTAGTTTACAATGTTAGAATAATGAAAGGATTCACTGAAGGTAGTCAGGTTTATTTCAGTCATAAATGTATCATGGAAATAAGGATTTAACTGGAATATATGCTTACCATAAGGCTAAGTAAAACCGTGCACATCTCTCCCAATCATATGTTCCACTTGCTGCGTGAAAGCCAAAGCAGCCTTAAGTACTGTGATGTATAGGAAGCACCACATGAAAACTGAAAAAAAGCCCCCAAAGTGAGATTTAAATAAACTCTGTCACCTTCCCATTTTCTACTCTACCTTCATTCTAGAGCAGCTGTCATGTGATTTCCTACCAGTCAGTAGAGCACAGGACAAAAACCCCACGCTACAGTGCTAGGCTTCCCTGACACCTCCTCCTCCTCCCACTAGAGTTCAAGGCATATTCAAAATAGCTACAACAGTTTCCATACAGCTTCTCAGATTACTACTTAGTTGGGGGAATCCCATGCTTTATTAAGCGGGGGCTGTATCGACTAATCCTCTCTCTGAAGCAAAGCAAAGAGCCACACTAAGATGGCCTTCTGGGTCTCTCTTTAGGAAAAGGAGAGTATCCAATTCTGTTGTCAATCCCAGCCCTTGGGACAACAATCCATGGTTTTCTTCTCCTTCCTGGTGCTGATCCAAGACTTTAAATTTCTGAGGGAGAAACGCAAGTGGTTCTCCATATCTTTGGTCAACAAGCACTGGATATCCAATATCCAGTTGAAAGAAGAACTCATGTGCACTGATTCCTGGCACTATAATTGCAATTAAAATAATAATTGGTTGCCTCCTGTCAAGATTTAAATCACAGCTGCACATCTTGTTGTTGAAAGTTACCTGGTAGCTGTCATGTTTTTCCACAATTGTCACCAATTTTCAGTAGTCTGCAAAAGTGCTGTCCAGGCAAATATCTGCATGGCACTCTGTCTTTTCAATTACTGCTCTTCCCTTATTTGTTTTAGTGTGGTAAGAAAATAACACAACCACCTCTACTAAGGGTAGTCCTTGATCTATAACAGTTTGTTTAGTGACTATTCAAAGTTACAACGGCACTGAAAAAAAGTGGCTTATGACCATTTTTCATGGCTATGACCTTGAAGCATCCCCATGATTGTGTGATCAAAATTCAGATGCATGTTCAATTGACTCATATTTATGACCTGTTTCTGTGTCCCAAGATCATGTGATCACTTTTTGCGACCTTCTGACAAGCAAAGTCAGTGGGGAAGCCAGATACACTTAACTAACTTATCAATTGCAATGATTCACTTAACAACTGAGGAAAGAAAGGTCATAAAATGGGACAAGACTCATTTAAGAAATATCTCACTTAACAACAGAAATTTTGGCTCAATTGTGGTCGTAAGTTGAGGACTACCTGTATTAGCTGTAAGTAGAAGATGGCTGCCGGCAAACTGGTTTACTGGCCTTGGAATGTTGTTGCCCAAACAGTCTGCAAGATAATCTCTAGATTCTATGCTCAGAATAAATTGTGATAAGGCAGGTTTCTGGGATTAACTCTGACATACCTTAAGATTAAATTCTGTGGTTTTAATAGGAAAGGGCAAGTCTATGGGAAAAACCAACCTACTACAAATGAGGCAAGATGGATCCTGATACAGCAACCTTTCACTGTTCTCACTTGCCTCTTTGCCTTGCCATGGGCAGTTCCTCTCTTTCCCACAGTAACTATTTAATAATCTTTAAACTAGAAAGAAGCAATGAATTTCTCATTTAAATAAATTAATTGCCTTTTGATTTTATTTTCTTTTTTTCTAGTAGTTTCCTTCTCCACCAACTGACCTCTTCTAAGTACTGCATAATAAAGAAGATAGCAAATTTAATTGTACCCCACCTAGAGTTGCTGTGAGCGAGTCTCTAAATTTGATGAATAAAAATAAATACTGTTGAGAACAGGTATTTGGTATTTTAGAACCCTGTCCGACAAAGAGAGCAGGGTTCTGTGTTGGAAAACTAGAAGCAACCTGCCAAGCACCAGGAAAATTGGAAGATCAAGACAGTTCAAATAGGTACAGGTAGTTCTCGACTTACGGCCACAATTGAGCCCAAAATTACTGTTGCTAAGTGAAGTATTTGTTAAGTGAGTTTTGCTCCATTTTATGAACTTTCTTGCCACAATTGTTAAGTGAATCACTTCAGTTATTAATTTAGTAATACGGTTGTTAAGTGAATCTAGTTTCCCAATTGACTTTGCTTGTCAGAAGGTTGCAAAAATGGGATCACGTTCCCTGGGATACTGCAACCGTCATAAATATGAACCGGTTGTCAATCTTCTGAATTTTGACCGTGAGGATGCTGCAATGCTTGTAAGTGTGAAAAACAGTCATAAGTCCCTTTTTTTCAGCAATGTTGTAACTTCGAACTAAATGAACTGTTGTAAGTTGACTATCTGTATAAAAATTTATTGCAAGCTTGAGCTCTCTACAAGAATCTAAACTCCTAACAGCCAAGGGAAATTAGCAGAAAAGTAGAAGGAATTCAAGGTGGGCTGAACTTAGAACTCTTGTGGGCTCAAAGGGACTCATGATCGATGACACATTTGATCCCTCAAGCAAAAAACCTAAATACAAATATGACAGAAAAGCAACACAAATGCAGAGCTACAGGGATAAAAGGACCCTCGGCTTACAGGCCAGGGAGAGGGACGGTAAAAGAGCACTAGGAAATAATCACACACGTATTTCATTTCCCAACTTTTTCACTGTCTTTTGAAAGGATAATGGAATGCTTGCTAAAATAAAGTTAAGTGCGCCTTCAATTTCTCTGAAGAGTCAGTACAAAAAGTTTGGTCTTAAGGGTCATACATATTCTGATGTGCAAACTCTGATCTGCAGAATGCAAAATCAAAATGGGTCGTATTTTGGTATCATCAAAAATGCCCAAATTTGACTTCAGGACACTACTTACTCCCCTCTGCTGCTGCCCCACCATCCTTGAATTAACTTAATTTACATTCATGATGACCTAATCCAGGGGTAAGCAACCTTGGCTCTTTTATGACTGGTGGACTTCAACTCCCAGAATTCCTGAGCCAGCTGGGAGTTGAAGTCCACTGAGTTATAAAAGAGCCAAGGTTGCCTACCCCTGACCTAACCCATCCCTTTTCAGAGGCTCAGTTCACGTGCTGGCTGCCAGGCAGAAGGGGGATTTATGATAGAAACCAATTCTTACTGCCACCATTTCCATGCTTTGAGAATCCAGTTCCCACAGAACCATCACAATCCTTCCAACTGACATTCAAGACTTAATTCATTTGAAAATCATGCCTCATGGCTGATGTTTTGATTCAATATGCACGAAGCAGCCCTGAACATAGTTTTAAAATCCTTTTAAATTGTCATAACAGGAATTCTCACATATCCCGCTTAGAGTTGTCTGAATGATTACTAGCTTAGAAATAAACAGTAAATCTTATACTAAACAGTTTCCATGTTTCTATCTGTCATTCCAATGTAAAGATCATCATCTAACATTTACACCTGTGAGAATCAGATTGATTCACCTATTATACAACCAAAAAAGTACTGTTAAAAACAGAGATATCCAACTTTGGCAAGTTTAAGACTTGTGGACGTCAATTCTCACAATTCCCCAGCCAGCTATGCTATGGTAGCTGCCCTGTTCCAGAGTGATCAGCTGCAAAAGCTAGCCTTCAAGAACCAGCTTCATTGTGGAACTATAAAAAACAGGAAGTAGAGATCTGAAGCCACAGACTCCTGTTCTTTCATCATTAGAACTGTCACGAGGAAGTGATAATTGTCCATTGCTGTGAAATAGTGAATAAAAAGAATTCTAGCTTTGTTACGCCTGGATGGCCACAGACCCACCAAACTAGCAGCTGCTCTTTTCAATGGAACGGGCAGGAATAAGGCACGCACACACACCATGCTTCTTCAACATACATAGAGATTTTTAAGAGTTTTTCTTTTTCATTTCACAGGAGGAAGAGAGGAGTAGGATATCTTTTATAAAGACAAATATATACTACATTTGCTCCTGGAGGCCAGCTGTCCTAGTTCTTTAAACTAGGAAAGACCACAGGAAGAAAAAGCACAAATCCCCCCCTCCAGTTTCGTCATCATGAACAAATATCTGATCAGACTAGAAGCATTCATCCCCATCATTTTGTTTCTTCCATTAGCCTTCCCCAACCAAATATTCTTCTGAGCGCTGGCTAACAGACCTCTTATAGCAGTGATGGCAAACCTTTTAGAGACCAAGGCCCCAAACTGCAACCCAAAACCCACTTATTTATCACTGAGTACCAGGTGGGCATGGCTGTGGTGGTCATGGCAGACTTGGTGGGTGTGGCCAAGGTGGGTGTGGTAACCTCGATGTTGCTCATGGGGAGGGATGCCTGTGAGAGCCAGGCAGGGTTCGGGGAGATCCAGTGGGTCTCTGGCAGGTAGGGCGGTGGGCAGGAGGCTCGTCCTGCGGGGTGAGGCGAGGCAAGGCAAGGCAGGGCTGGGGTGCCATTGTCGCAGGGCGAGGCAGGACCGGGGCGGCTGCTGCCTGACACCATCAGCCCCCGCACACAGAAGCCAGTGAGCACATGGGGGCCAACAGTGTCTGTCAGCAGCCACAGCCTGCTGGCCCCTCGACTGGCACACTCTGGGGCTCTGCAGCCACCACCAGAAGTTCAGAGAAGCCGCCTCTTAGCTAGACAGATGGCCAATAGCTGAGGAGGTGATGTAGTAGGTCCTGGGGGGGGGGGAAGGAGAGCATGCAAGGTCAGGAGGGATAGGAAAGGGGGGAGGGAAAGCAGCCGTGCTGGGATGCATCTGGCCACGTGGGAGCTCGGCAAGTTAGCTGGCAGCTGGTTGAAGAGGGACGATTGCCATTTCTGGGCCATGGCGCACGTGCCCACAGAGAGGGCTCCGAGTGCCGCCTCTGGCATGCGTGCCATAGGTTCGCCACCACTGTCTTATAGCCAGCCAGCTCAGCCACAATTGAAAACTCTGCTAGAGAAAAGCACAGAAGGTTAGCACAACTAGGAAAACTAGAGGTGCCCAAAGCAATAAACAAAGCTCGTCTGGATTTCAGAATACAGAGGGCCTCTGAAAGGGCCTAAAGCAGAGGAAGGCAGCATAGGAAGAATTTCGGGCAGAAAGGAGATAAGGACAAGAGCCTGAAGCTCTTAAGATACATGACTTTCGCCTGGCCCCAACTGCACCCTGTTCCCTTGCTTTACTCCTGGAAGGAATCAGCTTGCTTTTTTTTTTTTTTTTTGTCCCCTTCCTAGCAGAGAAAATAAAGCAAGAATGAACCATGGAAGCAACAGCAGCTGCTTTTTCTTCCCACAAAGCCTTTCTCCATTCATGATTTGTGATTCACTCAGACCCTCCCCTCCTTCCATTTATCAAATCAGCAATGCTGGGGAAGGAAGAAGAAACTAAGCAGGCAAGGGAAAGGACAAGAGACTTGGTGCAGAAGCAAGTAAGAAAATATTTTAATATTTCCCATATGGTGCTCTCCAGATGTGTGGGATTATACTTCAAACCCGCCCCAATTCTCATGCATTCAGATCTTCTCTGAAATGTTTCTTTTTTTCTATTTAACTGCATGTAGTTGATATATTATTTAATGTATTGCTACTATGCAAACGCTTTTGGATAGGAGGCAATATAAAAAGTTATTAAATAATATACCATCCTTCACCATGTTATTTGTTCTGTTTAGGGAAATCAAGAATGAAGCCCACGCATTGCATTCTCCACGTGCTGAGGAACAAACCCCTATCTTCTAGGTAGGCAAGACTAGCAATACATGTAACAGGCCCATCAGGAAAAAAAAAAAAACATTAACTAAATCTGCAGGATCACAGCAGAGAACAAAAGGGGATCTAATGATCAAATCCCAGGTCTTAACCTACAAAGAAAGCTATACAAATATGAGCAGTTTAATAATGGCAATGATCATTAAAGTGAATACCTTTACCTCTTTACAGTAAGAGAATGGAACTAGAGCAAAATGTCAGGAAGAACTTGCAAACACAGCCCCAACTCACTATTGCTAAGAAGCCCACCCATCTCTCAAAAGTATGCCTAGCCAGGAGAGAGTTTCAGGTCAGATTACCCTGTGTAGATTTCCTCAGCAACCTTT